TCCATAACGTTTTATACCAATTCTTATTTTTCGTAATTAATTACGAAATTCAACTATCAGTGGATATCGATAAAAATAAGTATGCTTACATTTGTCTATATCTACGTATACACAAATATGGGTATTAACTAGTTAGTTTATTTTCTAATCAACTAATGAACTTAAGTACTTTAATTGACAGTTGAAATAACTTAGTTTTTTGCAATTGATATTAAAAATTTTTGTTTTAAATTGTATTGTGTTAATGTTATATGACCTTCAATTACTATATTACAGGGTTGACCAGCAAGAAGAGACAAGCGAGCCGCTTAATATATTAATAAAGATGGAAGAGCTAAAATAAAAAAAAAAATCATATTAATACGTATATATATATTTGATTATTGTAAATAAGATAATTAGATATCAATTGTAATACAATGTGTAAAATATTAAACAATATAAAATAATAATTAATAATTTAGAATTAAAATAAATACATATGTGTATTTAAATATTATATCAAAAACACCTTATTTTTTATTTTTTTTGTAATTTTTTTCTATAAATTGAAATTTAATAAATTATTATTATTTTTCAAATATATAAATTCATAAATTCATATTGAAAATAATTTTTTTTTTTTTTTAATAATAATTTTTGTATAGTACGATAGATGCGAATCATATGAGTCAAAAATGGGAGCCGCATGCGGCTCACGAGCCACAGTTTATCCACCTCTGATATATTATATAAAAAATATAATATTTGTTAAATCGTTAATTTTAGATGTGTATAGTTTAAATTAATAAATAATTATCATGGAAGGTAAAAAGGTATTTAGTATTTACACTGTACAATGTACATTATGATAAAAGTTTAATAAAATTGTTTTTATAATATAGTAAATTAGAAAGACGCAGTTACTCTTAATGTAATTTACATGCTAATTTAAAAAAATAGATTAATTTTTTTTTAACTGAGTTAAGTAAACATTTTTTCTATATTAAATTTAAACTTATCGAGTTAAATTTATGATTTGTTAATGGTTAACTTCTAACTTATCAATCTTGTATTCTTTTTACAATCTTGAATCAATTATTTTCATTAATTTGACCACCTTTTTCTATACATATATCGTAAAGTGTAAACTATCATGGATACGTTAATTCGATTAAGGTTATATTCAGTTAGGTATAGATGTATTTTGTTTTTCAATAATTTTTAAATAATTTTAGGTCATGTACTAATAACAAGTGTTAACAGTGAAAAAAAGAAATAGAATTCATATTATAGTCATTTATAAAAATTAAAAACTGAATAAACGATAAATGACCTCTTAGCAGGGCTCCAGAAGTAACTATAATAAGAGCGAAAATATTATTGTTTATCTTAACCAATAAAATTATATTCTATCAAATAAATAATATGATGCTAACTATTTTAATAAGTTTAAAATTAATTCAAAATTAATTAACTTAGATAATAATGATTTATGATCGAAAAATACAATAGATGCATAATTTTCTTTAATAAATGTCCATTGCATGATGTCCATCGATTAACTGTTATTTCACGGCTCTGTAAAACAAAAAAATATTAACACTCAAAATGTTTAAGGAGGGGAGAGGTATCTTTATTGATAAATTTTTGTTTACAAACCAAGTTACTAAGCTACAAAAATGTTATATTAGTCAATGATTATATAGTAGGCACGTTTATATGGCATTGATGTCTAATGCATTTTGTTTATCTATTGCCCTCCTTTACTGATTATGAGGTAAATACAACATTGTAAGATATGAATTTCGAAACTACTAGCGAGATCTCGGAAGTTTTTAACTACTTCACAATGTTTACAGATCAAAATAGTGATTGTTTACACATATAGATAGCGCTTTAGATTTTTTAACTGAACATTAGGTACGTATAATTTCAATATATGTAGAAAAACTTTTAATAATATACATTTTAATTGATAAAGTTCATTAATATTAAAATAATACATTAGTAAAATATTTTACAAATTATTAATATTTGCAATATTTTAAATACATTTTCTGTATAAGTGTATTATAGCTTTTAATAGCGTAGAAATTGTTTTTTGTGGAATCGGTTTCTCATTTAACACCTCATTTGGTGAAAAAGAACGAGATACACTTTTGAAGGAAATGTAATAGTGAATACGCCCATAATATTAAACACCAACATTCTTCATTTACGCACCATAAACGACATGAACAATATTAATTATTATTAAAAAGTGTTTTAATTTTATGCTCTTAAAATCTTTATATAGTCTACGACAAGTATTTAAAAGTTATTTTATTTAATATACGTGTAATACGTGAGTAATAAAGTGAATATCATCAGTTATAAATTGTTTATTTAAAACGGTATTAATGTAATTAAAATTAAATATTTTAAATATTTACGGGATTACGCATATAAATCACTATTGTTATAATTTTATAAGCAGTCGTTATTATATTTTGGAATTTAGCCGATTCAATAATATTGAATTATAATCATAAAGATAATAATGAGATTTAATAAATACATTTATAACATCATAAGTCATTTTAATTCCATAGTATATTTTAATATATTATGATATAGTTGTATAATTATTATATGTGTTAAATTGATTATAAAATACTATATTTATATAGTATAAAACCTCCATACAATAAACTTTCATTTAACAACATATTTATGAGAACCATAAGCAAATTATTTGACGTTCTATTTATTGAAATATTTATAATTTATAAGAATTTTTAATTGTTGCCTATGAGACTTATTCGTAATATGAATGTTTCAATACAAAAAGTATAATATAATTATTGAGTCCTTCTAGTACCTATAGATTTATAATTAAACAAATAATAATAAACAAGAAAGAAATGTTTAACAAATTATTATTCACTATACAATTACCTGAATCAGCATAATAAATAAACATAATATTAAAAGGAAATACATTTATTAAAACACTACCTACATTAATTCACAGTTGTGGACATTTGTACTTTTTAATGATTTTAGGTATTATTCGTCAATATTTAAAATAAAATATAAAATGGAAAAATTCGAACTGAATTTAAGTTTACAATTAATAGACGTAAAAATCAAATTTTAAAATAATTTGTAAAATAAAAATCTTCTTAATATACTCGTATGTTTTAATTATACACTACGATGATCATATTATGTTATATCATTGTATTTATATTATATGTGGCTTAAAATGAAAATTGTTTATTATCATTTAAAAGTAAAATACTTATACGATTTTAACAAATAAAGCATAAGGAAACAAATATTTAAGTTGTCAAAATATAGAAATTGAATTAAAAATAATTTAATGAATCAAATTTAAAAAAAATGTATGTACCTATAATGATAATTTAATATTTTATCAAAAAATCGGGTTAATTATGAAGTTAACAATTTTAAATAAACAACTACCAGAGCGATAATAATTATTTCATGATATCCGTGAAGTGCAATTAGATTGACGACACGAAATTATACACTACATATTATACCTATGTATTAGATATGTATTGAAGCTTTAAAAGCAAAAAAATTGACTTTGATCGAACGTTATTGAGTTTAATTTACTCTTATATAATAAATTTTGCATTTCTATAATTGTGATATAAATATTTTTTTCATGTATTTTTTTGTTGATACACTGTTTTCTCAAATTTAAAAATTGTGTTATCATTTTTATTTGTTTTTACTAATATTTAAAACATTAAATTAGCTTTCTTCAAACAACTTTCAAAACTTTGACTATTTCGTTTTTACAAAATATTATAACAATTCTAGACAATTTAGTTGAAGGAGATAACCAATACAGGAGCAAATAAAACGGGCATTTTACGTAGTTATTCTTGTTATTTGAATACAAAAAATAAATGTGTGATAACGTTAAAAATAAACAAAACCATAGTATTATTAATTTTAAAGTTATGAATCATTTTATATAGTTACAGGTTAGTAACATAGGTATATTATTATGATATCATATAGTTCTATGACATTTTAATTACGTTTTATTATAAGATATTATTAAATAATGTTTAATGTTTTATTAATTACATTTTTTTTTTCTTGTAGTTTTATTATTTTGTTGAGTATTTAGTATGTATTTGAGGTTTTTTATTAATCATCAATTAGGATATGTTTAAATTGTATACATGAATACATCTAATGGATAGGTAAGTAAGCCATCACTGTTAGGTGCTATTGGAGCTAAGTATTCCAAAATAGACTCTATAGTTTACGTTTATCGTGTAAATTAGTGGACCACACGAGGACGTTTATCATTGCAACTGTTAGCTCGGGGTTCTGTTTTTAATTTTGACGTTTCCTCTTATCGCGGCGTTTTAAAAACGTGGGTATTATAATATTTGATATAACAGTACCTATTATTGTATTATACATCACTATTATTATGTATTATTATTTTTATTAAACGTTATTATATCGCCGGCATTGGATCAAGGTCATTTAACTAACCCACTTGTAATGACGTCATCGCCGTACGAGGTTTACTATCGCAGCGAACGTAAAAGCGCGCACACACACATGCACACGCGCGCACTGCAGCGTACAAACGTTAACGTACCACCCTTGTCCGGACGATCGCGGCAATAAAAAACCGTTGTCCGTATAGCAAAACGTGAGTAGTATACATAATAATGTACACAGTACATTGGCGCTGCGATATACAATAATAATAATAATAATAATAATATATTATAGTGCACGCGTATTATTATTACTATTACTGTTTTGCAGTGGAACACCCTCAGTCGTCACCGGAACCGCCACCCCATTTTCATTCAGTACGTCATTCGCTCGTGTGTGTTAGAGTTTTAGTGTTCGTGAGCGTGTGAGTGCGCGTGTGTGTAATATAATATGAATAATATCGTACAATTCTATCCCCACCCCCGATCGGCGCGTGAGTGCGTGTGAGCGCGTCCCGGGACGGTCGCGCCAGATTATCGATTTGCGAGTTCAGTGACAACGCGGACGCGTACGCATCGGGAGCCTTAAGCCAGCGGGCGCGCTTCTATCGTTCGAAAACTTCGATGAGTGTGTAACGACAACAACAATATCGCAGTGTTACTGTTGCTGTTGCCGTTATATTCGCATTACCTATACCGCCATCGGAGTGGTGGAGTTTTTACAAGTACGACCGTTGCTTTAATCTCGTAAATTAGACGTTTCGCAGGAAATCGCTGTGCGCCAAACCCATTGACGCCCGTTATACACACGTTCGTTCTTACTTTATCTTGTGTTTCGATAAAACCTAAGTATTGTGTTGATGTCATGGGTGCCTAGTGCCTACAATAATATTATGTACTATACCGTTTAGTCGTTATTGTAAATGACGCACAACTTACGACAATTTTTATTGGTTATACCTACATACCTATACGGCTATACAAACAATTTTCGCATCTCGAATGATCGGTTCATATCCGTTGATATTAAATTAGTCATAGAAAATATTTGAATTCGATTTTTCTACAAACACTAAAATTTGATATATTTTTAACAATAAACCTACAACGTTCAACACAATCGTTCTCAATTCGAAAAAAAGCCCCCCAACTATTTTCAAATTACTAAACAATTGATAATTACAATATAAATATTTGCAAATATTAATAACAAATAAGGTCGGTACCTACTGAACTATTAAACTATGATTTTTTTTTTTTTTAGTATGTTTGGTAATAAATGGCGGGACAACTTGAAAATCGTGTTACTACATGCAATCATATTTAGTAAAACGTTTGATTAGCTTTCTAAATGCAGTTTTGATCTGTCTTTTACATGATGTAAGATAATCCTAAGCACTGGAAACATGTCAGGTTAGTTTTACTATTTACAGTATTATTACATATTAGTTAAATTTTTTTATAGTTCATTACACAATTAACGACTTGTATTTTAATTGTTACAACTTGGTTATATTCATTTAACCATAATCAAATCGTTAAAAATCTAAAATGTCTCGTTATATTTGTTGGTGGTTATCTACATATTTTGAAATATACTTATGTACCTACATAATATAATATAAAAATAATATACTTAAATTTTCAATATTGTTTTTATTGTCTTAGAGTACATAGGGTTTGGTAGTTTACCGGACATAGTACATCGAAAAACTGTCAAAAAAGGATTTGAATTTACTTTGATGGTAGTCGGTGAATCTGGTTTAGGAAAATCAACACTTATAAATACATTATTCCTGAGTGATCTATACAAGGAACGAAATGAATCTAATTATGGTATACCAATTTCAAATTTCTACAGTTATTAGGATTTAATTTATACTTAATCTTTTTTTTAACGATCTTAGAACCTCCCCAGACCGCAAAAATTGAAAAGAAAACGTTATGTATCGAAGAACAAGGAGTTAAGTTAAGACTAACCGTTGTCGACACACCTGGTAACTCTTTTATTTCGCCTTTGAGAAGGAAAAACAACAGCTTTATTTTTATTTTAGGTTTTGGTTCGTCTTTGAGCAGTGAGGATTGCATTCGATCATGTTGCGAATATGTGGACGAACAATTTCGTGCATATTTCGCTGAAGAAAGCGGTATTGTCAGAAAGAACATAGTTGACAATCGTGTGCACTGTTGTCTTTATTTCATACCCGGTCATTGTCACAGGTATATTTAATATGAAGTTGTTGTTTTATATGTAATATATTATAGGTACATAAATATTGATATTATATAATTCTTATTCAAAATTCTATTTAAGCTTGAGACCAATAGACGTAGAATTCATGCTCAATATCCACGAAAAAGTCAACGTCATACCAATCATAAGCAAAGCGGATATGTTGACTGAAAAAGAAAAAATACAAATCAAACAACGAATAAATGATTCTATCAAGTCCCACGAAATAAAGGTAAATTCATTACAAATTTAATTGAAAAAACATTAATAATCTAAAATATTTATTAAATGTATACCTAACCTATACATTTCAAACATTAAATTATTTTTATTTTTTATATCTGATGATTTAAATCTCATTAATGCATAATGGTCCGAAACGTACATATTTTAGATTCTTATACTATTTTTTTAATTTTATTATACCGCGATTCAAATTGAATATATCACATTTGGATATAGTATATGAATTTATATTATCAAAACTGTTTACTTTATAGTTAATATTAGATAATGATTTATTGTAAACTAATAATCGTTCACCTATGACAAACACGGGACATAAAAGGCTATTATCAATAGTTGCAAGTATAACTTATAAAACGAATAAAATATAATGATTATTATTCAATATTTAATTCAAATATGTGACATTATATACCAAAATTAAATAATGTGCTTTTAATTATTATATACATGGCTCAGATTTATCAACTACCGGATTGCGATAGTGACGAAGATGAAGACTTCAAACAGCAGGACAAAGAATTGAAAGCATGTTTACCGTTTGCTGTAGTCGGAAGTAACACGGTTTTGGAAGTTAACGGGAAAAAAATACGAGGAAGGCAATATGACTGGGGTATAGCAGAAGGTAAAAAAATTTAAACACTTAATAAACTGTTTATGTGTTTACCTATACATTATTTTTAGAATAGTTAACATTGTTAACACAGAAAAAGTAGGTAAATATATTTAACGACAAACGAGTGTGAACATATTATTTATGTAATATTTTTAGTGGATAACCCAGCCCATAGCGATTTCACCAAACTTCGGAATATGCTAATATCCACACATATGCCCGATTTAAAAGAAGTCACTGAGGATGTTCATTATGAAAATTTTCGCACACAGTTGATTTCAAAAATATCGCAACAAGCATTTAAAGATAGAGGGTAAATATTAATAAAAACATAATATTTATTATAGGACAAATTAATGTTTATTATCGGTTTTATGTAGAAAACTAAAAAGAGATTCAATACCAAAACTGCTACCAGCACTCGATGAAACGGATATTTTATTGATTCAAAAAGAAGAAGAAGTAAGTAGAATACATGTTTAAATTTTTAACCGGTACGCGAATAATAATTATAATATTCATATTAAATAGATAGGCACTATTTTTATGAACATAATGGCTATACACTATAATAAAATTGTTAATATTGTGTAGGTATAAAATATATTAAATACTAAATAGCTATCAATTGGTATATCAAAAAGGAACAATGATGATACGTAAATCACAATTATTTTTAGAATATTTATACATAATATTATTTTAATTAAATCACCGTTCCAAAAGGAAAGAGTTTTATATAACACAAATAAAAACCGCAATAATAGGTAATTTAACAACATTTTACTAAAAATTAAAATAGTTAGGCGAGTAGGTATCGCTCTACTGTAAAGTAAATGTCAAATACGTCACAGTGATAGATATGTTACATTTGAATTCAATGATATTATATCATTGTACAAGAAAAATGATTCTGAGCGAAAATAGTCTATAATCCTAACTTATAAGTATATTTCATATAATGATCTTTAACATTGGTCGGTATTTAAAGAAATACAATTTAAAAAAATAATAAAAATTGAAGATATCTATAAATAATTCAAAAAGAATCGAAATATTTTGAAAATTTTATAGTGTATAAAAAATTATTATATAAATATTTAGTTAACGTTCCAAATACTTACGGTACTTTGATTTTGATTACAACAAAGTATTAAAAATTAGTAAGTGAAGAAATGTAAAATTCAATGTCGCATAAATTTAAACTTCAAATTGTCAGAAGCAATTTTTTTTTACTTTTCGGTAGAATTTCTTAATTAATATACTCGTAGTTTGAAAAATCTCATAAAAAACCTTGTAATAAATTTCTAAGTGTTAGCTTTAGCAGAGACATTTTTATGAATTTCCAGCTACAAAATAATTTGCAATTTTTAAATTTTAATAAATTTTATCAAAATTCTATATTTAAATACTTATAAAAAAAATGTAATTATACATTTTCAATATTTTTTTTTGATTAGTAAATGAACAACTTATGATAAACCTTATACTAAATATTGTCAAACATTTTTTTTTTTTTTTTAGTAAACACATTTTTATAGATATTTATATGAAAAAAAAAAAAAACCAAAAATTATAAATCTATAAATAGTTCAAAAAGAGTTAAAATATTTATTTAATTATATCATTTATCATATTATAAGCATTTAGTGAAAATTTTAAGTATATTTTAAGACAATATCAAATTTGTAAAAAACTAGATTAATCTTTTTTTTGTTTTCCTGGTTATATTAAAAAATACTAGGCATTTATGGCATTTTGACTTTAAACAGTACAAACTACGAGTAGAACTAACTTTCTATTCGAAACTACTCTCAAAGTTGAAAATTAAAACCTCTTCTGACTACTTATCGTGTATAAGCACACATAAACATATAACATAAACAAAAATAATACCCACGTCCCACACACATTATTGTAAGATCGATTCATTCGTTGGTCTGTTCAGAATCTAAAATGTCTAAATAACTTTTTTTCTTGGTTATAAAACAGTTGTTTGTCAGTAAAATTTGAATATTTCGTAAGCAATTTCGTAAAATTCTTTTAAAACTTTTAAAAACAGGTACCTATTTGGTTTTCATGTAATTTCTTAGAATTAGAAAAAACCGTTATGTTTCAAAATAAATCATACACAATATAAATATCATTACATCCAGTATGACATCAATTGTATTATTATGTATTTCATTAATGAAAATATTTCATTTATTTATAATAATGTACCTACATTAAAATTATTTAAAATATGTATTGTTAATCAGTAATTCCTAGTTACTATACTGATGGCATTTATGTATGATTTGGATTATTGTTAAACGTAGTGGTGATATTAATTTACATTTAGATCCGCCGTATGCAAGACATCCTCGTCCAAATGCAAGACAAACTTAAGACCAACAATGAAAAAAGCAATCATAACCTTTACTTAGCAGCTCAAAAATCACTGGAAAATGAAAACAAAAAAATTGAAAACGTTATCAACGTTTAATGTTAAGTAATAATAATTAATATAGTATCATTTAATATTGTTTACAATTATATAGTAAAGTCTTGTATATTATAAAACATATTTTACTAATTTGGTGTTCAACTTGAAAAAGTATTAATTCTATTTTACATTTTTTATATTATGATATTACTTGATTTACTGACCTTTAATTTGTTGTCGTTTTATTCATAGCCGTGTAAGGGAATATACTATTATTATTGTATTATAACATTATTTTATTTCAGTTTAAAACTTATATTTTAAATTATAGTAGACACGGTAAAAAATTAACATAGGAACTAAAACAGTAGGTTCTTCGTGGTTTAATTTTTAAGATTGTTTAGAAATGTGTATATTAATATATTATCGTCATAAAATAAACTCTTGATCGGTTACGACTGAATTATTGTTGATTTCAATGTTTACACGATGTGAACATTATACATATAAACAAAATAAATAAGTATATTACAAATTCAAATTTTACAGTTTCTAGTATTTTATAAACATGTCATTTTTTTTAAACTAATAACAAAATTAATATTCAGACATACACTATATACCACCTACCATGTTATCAAATCAAATAAGATTGATCTAAATTAAACTCAATAAATAGCTGTGTTAAATATTCTTTTTGAAAAACTTGTATTTTTAGCACTTGTGTAGATATGTAATAATATTTTTATGTATCTTCGTTTCATAAAATTTGACATAATTCAGTAGTCGAAGCGGAACATGACTCAACTAATATATTATACCTAATTGTAATATTACATATTATAACATACTAATATAATATTATTTTGTGAAAAATTCCGGGCATAGGTTTTTGTCATTATTTCGTCCTGACAAACTATTTAGATAAAATAAATACAATATTACAATATAATATATACATAAATGTGAATACGTGTATTATATAATATGTACCTAGGAGGAATATACACATTGTCCAATAAACACAATGAAATGGACGTATAAACACAGGTGTATTTTTAAATGTATATTATTATAATATTATGTAGGTATATCTTATATTCTTTTGTGTATAAATATGGCGGCCTTTAAGCTGTCAGAGCGCCACACGTTATTATTATAAATACGTGTGTCACATGTACAATATTAATTTTAATAATTATTACGAGTGTTGATAAATTTTAATAGTTAACAATAATTCATTATCGTGGAGTGAAAAAAAAAAACAACGCAAACACAAACACGCATATGTAATCATGTGTGTCATATTATAAGTATAATATATTAATTGACTAATACAGTTTAATATTTTATATACTTTACAATATACACCGTTAAATTACGACAGTGTTAAATAGTTTTTATTATCTGTAATGTTTATGGAAAACATTTCATAAAACGTCAGATGTATTCACTGAGAAGTGATGCAATAATGCAATGATCGATTTGTTATTCTCTTGTATGGTATAAAGAATATATCACAGTGCTTTTATTTACTCCCTATTAATACCAACATGAGAGTTATTTTTTACTTTAATTAATACTCGTTATATAATGCACAGAAATTACGGTTTTTCTCTTGCAATTATTATGTAGAATACATTTTTTAAGTTATTGGTGAAAAATTGAGAGAAAATATAAAAATGAAAGCGTCTATTATAATTTCAGCCAATTGTATTATGTAATGTTAATATGATCAGTCCTGTAAGCGCGGATCGATTATTTAGATCGTTCGGACTTCAGAAACCCTAAATTTGTAGTGGCGCTAACGTGAAATGTTAAAATGTAGATAACATTCTAACATCATTATAAATGCATAAAAATAATTGTTAATATTTAATTATTTTATTAATTTTTAATTGTTCCATCCCATATTATTATAATGTTTAAAATTTGTGTAATTTTCTACTTCATATACAATTTTTTTCAAACTTTGAAATAAATAAAAAAATTGATTCCATGTTGTATAGTATTATATCAATATCTGTATCAACTATCAATATATCTTAAAGATTGCAGTAGATCAAAATATATATGTTGACAAAATAATAAGCAAGATTTCTAATAAATATATTGTATTTTGTGTAATTGTACTTAACTAAAAATAATGTTTAACTATTAAAAGATTAACGGTATTCAAACATACGTCGGTTTATCAAAAGCGAGTATAAGCTGATAAAATTGAACCATCTGTACCTACCTAATAGTGTTTAAAAGTGTTATTAACATTTCGTAGACATGATAAAGTAAACATCACACACACCATATGTAGTTTTGTACTACACGTTCAATATAAATGGTAAACAATAAGACGATTCGTCATCAATCATGGTTGCAAGTAATAAAAATCGTACGATATAAATTCACTGCTCAAACTCATATTATTCGTATTGTTCTCTTCGTAAACTTTTAAATTTAATAAAATATACAGTCGTACATTAGACCACCCATTTTGCCTTCACTTTTATTTCTGTTGAAATAAACATCGCTTTCATCTGAGACATAATATAATATAAATGGTATGATGTTCAAAGCCGTAATTTTCAAATTTTCTTTATTGAAATACATAAACACGATTTAAAACGTTATATAGTTGATATATGTATTAACTACAGATAGAAACAATATTGTTAAAATAGTTATTTAGCTTTATGTTTTATATTACGGTTCAAGCATAGAAATTATCACAACATAGTTGACAACAATGTTAAAATTATTTACTTTTTTGTAAAAATAAAATAATAAAATAAAAATTAATAACTTCCATTTTCTTATTTTACAATATTGTGAGTTCATTGTATTATAGATTACAGGGGCGGATCCAGAAATTTATCAAGGGGGGGGGGGGGTGTTATATATCATAATGTCAAGCCCCGATTGACAGTTTATCGTAATTCTCTTGAGTAGTGGGTATAGTGGGTACGTTATTATCGTTATTTTCATATTATAACGATATGTAACGCTGAATATAACTATAGTATTTCTCACAAGTTATAATAATGTAATACATTTTTATAAATAAGCTCAAGGGGGGGGGGTATTTACCTTATTACCTCCCTCTTGGATCCACCACTGATAGGTTAAGTATTGTAAAAAATATTCACAAATACATGGTATTACGTATTACATATTGTATACGTATTTGTTAATTGTTTATATGATAATCAATCACGACCGCGAATAATCGCAATATAAATATAAATAGGTACCATATTATTGATGCTACACACATTTTCTGTTATTCTTGATCGGAGAATATTTTTTACCCATGCATATATTCGCAATCATGTCTGATCTGAAATCCAATGAAATTTCTATAGTAATATTCTTTATTCACTCCCTCCTCATAATATACCAATAAATGCACCTTTTTTTTATTTTTAAAATATGAAAATTTACATTCTGTATGAAATAATTACAATACATACAGTAAGTAAATTATGTGAGGGAAGGAGTCAAGATTTGAGAATGCCATCCAGTGACGACACTTCAAAAATATACTTAAATGTAATCAGTTACATATTGTTGATTATTAGGTATTTTTTTTTTCGTTTACGACGATAATTTTTTTGTTTTAATGTAAGTACCTACCTAAATATACAACATCAATATTATATATAACGTGTTCATGCTAAGAGGTACCATTAAATCTTTCAATTGGATGACTGAAAGGAAGTACCAAAATGAAAATGTTCAGATAAATTATAATTTTTTTATCCTTTTGGTAGGTAGATACACGCATGCGCAATACAACTTACTTTTTTTTAAATGATAAAACCATTTTTCCTATAAATTCGGGTAGTATAAGTTTTTAAACAATTAATAAATTGAAAAAAAGTTTATTTCTAATTAAAAAATTGGTAGATAAAATTTAATAATTGCGAATAATTTGTTTTTGACGAAATTTTAACAATAGTCAATTTATACTCAAAAATTGAAATATCACTGATATTTTTAAACATGTAACTGTCTTTAGATACATATTAAATTTCAATGTTAAATTTAATTTGTTAATTTTGTAATTAAAAACAAACATTTCGTACAAAAATTGTTTAAAAAAAAACACTTTATCCGAATTTGTAGAGAAAAAAAATGATGTTCCTATTTTAAAAATAGTAAACTGTATTGTGCATGGGCATACCAAAAGGATTAAACATGTGAAAATTGCTTGAAAATGTAAATTTTATTACTCCCATTCTCAGAAAATCCTATACTTATGTCAATACAAGGTCATCTAATTAAAATATTTATTGATACCTGCATATAAGCATGAACACATCATAATATATAAATATGCTTTAAATTAAATTGATTTTGTCGTCATCATATCTTATGTGTAGATGCACACTATTATTATCAAAAGTTTCAAAATGAATCCTGTTATTTGAGCACAAACTGGTACTTATCTTTTATTTTTTTCAGTTCCTGCAGTTTTCGGAAAATAAAAATTAAAGATTAAGGTTTTTTAATTAAGATCAGTTACAAATAGTTCAATTTTTTTCCTTTTTAATTTAATAATAGTAATTATATTTATATTTATATTTTATACATCAAAATAATTAAATATAAATATTTAAATACCTAGCTATTTAAGTATTAAGATTTCTCGAGAAATAAACTGTTTTATATAAAAATAATAGAAGTTTATCAAAACACGGGATACATTATAGGTACCCGAAAAATCATAAAGATAAAAAAAAAATTAATAAGTTATTAATGGTTATTACTTATTAATAATAACCATTGTAATACACTAATAAAATATTTTTTTCCATTAAAAATATAAGTTTTTGTATAAACCTTTTTTTTTAACAATTACAATAATATATTAATGTATTTTTAAAATACCGACTTTGTACTTTATAAATGCGTTGTATTTCTGTTACACAAGACATAGATAATGAAATTGAATACTTTGTTACGATTAGGTAAGTGTATAAAATATATTTTCTTGCAATATTATGTTTAATTTTAAATGTTTGTTTGTTTTTTGTAAATAATATTTTCAATAAACATTACTTTGTGTAAGCTTATTAAAAAATTTATTAACTTTTACAAAAGTTAATTTTTGACGTATTTTATGCAAATCAATAGCGAAAATGTGAAACATGAAATTCATTTTTTGTGTGCTACACACAAATATTTTACACATTTTCAAATTTCCCGCTATTTCGTTTGCTTGTCTACAAACTAAAATTACTGATTGCGTTGGTACCTCTGTATTCCGTGGAAGATACGATGGTTGTGGGCAGGTCGGACGATCGGATTCGCGGCAAGCGGACGAAGGTAGCGTGCGTCATCGGTTTTGGTAACCACTGATTGTGATTTGCGGTATTCGACTTGTTATGCGCGACGAACGGTCACGCCACGTTTTTTTGTCCCTTCGCCTGTTTTATTAGGCGAATTTCTCTTTCAGGTTCTACGCGCCTGTGTCATTCGACGTGCCGAAATCATGTCTAGATACAGTCAGAGACCCGAGAACGCGTTAAAACGCGCCAATGGTAAGTAAATGCAATCATACTAATAGAGAAGACCGAGACAGTCACCAAGTTGAACGCTACTGCTTGAAACCGCCCCAGCTACTAATGTACCGGTATTACATGGTTTTTCAGAATTCTTGGAGGTCGGAAGGCCTGGCAGGGCCCTCGACACCCTGTATGAGGTGTTCAGGAACAAAAAATGGGCTTATAACTGGAGTGAGAGCGTTCTGGAACCAATTATGTTCAAGTATCTGGAGCTGTGTGTCGATCTTAAGAAGTCGCATATTGCTAAAGAGGGTTTGTTTCAGTACAGAAACATGTTCCAATCTGTAAGTACCTCTATGGCTGTAGATAGATATCAAACTTTCATATTTTGTTGATGTCCAGGTCAATGTTGGATCTTTGGAGAATGTCATACGCGGTTACTTAAGAAGCGCTGAAGAGCGGACAGAGGCTGCCAGAGAACAATCACAACAGGCTGTTGTTGATATTGACGACTTGGATAATTTGGCTACTCCAGAAAGTATACTTTTAAGGTAACTTTTTTTATCCAATTTCATATATTTGTATCTACATATACCTATATGTTATATTTTATATTTTACTATCTGTTCTCACATAATTTAGTGCGGTCAGTGGAGAAGATGCCCAAGACCGTAGTGACAGAACTATATTAACACCATGGGTTAAATTTTTATGGGAGTCCTACTGTCAATGTTTGGAACTTTTGAGAACTAATGCTCATGTGGAAACTTTGTATCATGATATAGCTAAAATGGTATAAAATATTAAATTTGTTTACCTACAAAATATTACTTATACATTTGTCTTCATTATTTTGTTTATAGGCTTATCAATTTTGTTTAAAATACAATCGTAAAACAGAGTTTAGAAAGCTATGTGATAAACTACGTAAACATCTTGAAGATATTGCTAAATTACCTCCACAAACTGTTAATGTTAGCCTTTCAAACCCAGAAACACAACAATATAATTTAGAAACTCGCTTATGTCAATTAGATTATGCTATTCAGATGGAATTATGGCAGGTGAGTTATAAATATATTTTAAGAATTAAGTATTTTTTAATCAATATACAATTCATAAATTATAGGAAGCATATAAAGCAACTGAAGATATCCATAATTTAATGTCATTGGCTAAGAAGTCTCCTGTTCCAAAAACTATGGCAAATTATTATCAAAAATTAGCTATGGTATTTTGGAAGGCTGGTTATAATTTATTCCATGCTGCAGCCCTATTGAAGCTTTTCCAACTCAGCAAAGAAATGAAGAAAAATATTACTGCTGAAGAACTTCAAAAGTAAGTTTTTACATTTTTCATTTAGGAAATCTATATTGTAATTGCAATTTTTGAATTAATTCTTGATATAGTTCATTCACAAAAGTGTTGTAAAATAATATTTACAATTTTGTATGTATATGTATATCATTTATTGTTGTGAATTTAAATTTCCTACTATTCTTTTTATTATTTGAGAAAGCATTTTCCATTTCTATAGTATTAACTATTTTAAGTTATTTTTTTTTTTTTAAATTTAATCACATTCACAGTGATTTAAAGTTAAAATAAATATATTTTTTTATATTAAAGAATTCTGTTTACACAAATGTTAATTACTCAAGTAACACTGCAGCTATTATGAAAATATTAAAAACTATAAAATAAAATGAAAATTTAGTAAAATATTAAGTTATTATTTAAAAAAATAGTTTTATCGTCTTATGATCCAGATGTTAAATAATAATCAATAAATAAACTTATTTTTAATTAAGTTAATGTTTACTATAAGTTTTTAGAATAAAATATATGGTGGTAGTTGTTTGATATGCTACTTGTAAAATATTATCTATATACATAAAAATTTGTTAATTTGTTTACTGCCAACACATATTCATTATACATTAAATAAAAATAAAATGTTTACTTAATTGTATAGTTAACAAGTCATAAAGTAATATACTTCATCAATAATGTTCTTACATTGTGTATAAACAACTCATACCATAAAAAAAAAGTTTCATATTTGAATTTACCAATACAAATTTAGTTTTTAACTGTCAATCTATTATATAACTAAAGGATTTGGCTTCCTGACCTTGACTATTTGATATTAGATATCATAATCTCTCAAGCGAGTATAAGTGATAGAATAAAAATAAATTTAAACTGTAATGCATAGAGAAATATTTATTTTTATTGATTTTAAGATAGGTAAATTGGGTGATTTATTTAACTTAAAATATAAACATTTTTGAGAATATATATTTTAAATTATTTTAAGAAAAAAACAATATTATTGGAAAAATTATATTTTAGAGATTATTCTAATTTCAGACAAGTAGTTTATTAGTTGTATTATGAACATTTAGAAATTCAAACGAGTAGATTAATGGACCAACATTATGCAATGTCCTCCTATTCTACTCCACTCAGTTCGTCTTAACTTATAATACTTATAATTCTTAAATTACTTGTCTAAAATTCTATTTAATTTATTAAAATATATTTTTTGGAATTAAGTATTAAACATTTATTTTATCAAAAAATTTCAAAATAAAAACAAAAATTATATTTAATTACTAGAAATGATATAATAAAAAAATTTCAATAGTTTATGAAATAGTAAAAGTCTTACATTAAATAAATCACTCTGTAAACAAACTTTTTTGGACATAAACCAAAAATAAATGATTTCTTATAATTTTTCTTTTTTTACTTCATTGTTTTTAAAATATTTAATACCAAAATGCATTAAAAAAAAAAAAAACAAAAAATTTAAAGGGAAATTTAAATTGAATTAATACGCTAGGTGTTTTTTTTTTTTTTTTTGGAAAATTTTTTAGCCAGTCAAGTTAATATTAAATACAATTTATTAACTTCCCAACATTCAATATTATACATTTTGAAATTATTATGACTAATGTTTTTATATTTATAGATCATTTTACTTAAAAATTGAAATGCTTTATATTATTGTTATTATCATGTTTGAAGTTTCCCCAACTTAGTTATCTGAAATTATTAAAAGGAATTAATATAAAAAACATGTTCTAACCTATTGACTTAATAGTGTTATAATTTTGTTTTAGATTTTCTTTGATATAATAATTTACCTAAATGTTTTTATGACAAAAATCTTGAGAATACGTTGGATATAATATTAATTTACAAATATCTAATAGTTATGGCTGTAATATAAGCTATATAATTTATTTTACCCATTTCCCATTAATAAATATTGTTATTATTTTTGTCTAGAATGGCTTCTCGAGTTTTGTTGGCTACTTTAGCTGTACCATTACCATCTGCCCATCCTGAATTTGATCGCTTTATCGAAACTGATAAAAGTCCTTATGAAAAAGCACAAAAACTTGCTATTTTATTAAGTCTTCCTGCTCCACCTACAAGGATTTCTCTCATGAAAGAAGTTGTAAGTATTAGTTTAATTTAATTTTAATAAAATATATTTTTTTAATCGTTGATAATTTTATAGGTTCGTCACAATGTTGTAACTTTAGCATCTGAAGATTTACGTAATCTTTACATGTGGTTAGAAGTTGATTTTCAACCTTTAGAACTATGCAAACGTGTTGAGACTGTAACTGATCCACTTATTGGTAGTGGAAGCGAATTGGAAGGATATGTTGCTCCTGTACGTGAAGTTACATTGGCTCGATTAATTCGACAACTTTCTCAAATTTATGAAACACTTGAATACAAACGACTTTTAGAATTAGCATCTTACTGCAAGCCTTTCCATATGGAACGTGTGTTAGTTGATTTAGTTCGTCATAACGATATGCAGGTAATTAATTACCATTTCAATATAATGAAATTAAAATAAATACATTTTTAATTTACTAAAATTTACTTTACAGTTACTTAGTATAATTTCAACACTTAAAAAAAAATTATTAATTCTTAAATATTTACATTCAATACTTATTGGTTATTATCCAACGACATTGATTAATAACTATGATTTAAAACAAAAATAAAAAAATTATACATAGTGGAAATTTAGAAATGTGTATTGTACCAAAAAATAGTTAAGTTCAAATTATTATTATTTTTTTTTTTACTTTTAATGATTTATATTATACATACAAAATAAATTTTCTTGTTGAAGCAATACTTTAAATAAAATTTGACTTAAATGTTGTAGATACATAACAATAAAAAATAATTAATTTCTATATTTTAAATTTTAGATTAGGATTGATCATGGAAAGGGATGTATTCAATTTGGAATGGACCTGTCAGAATCACAACG